CTATTTAGAGCACGGCATCCTCCCCAGAATTTCCATAGCGCTCCTCCTGGTGCACCTTCCTCACCCCAGCCTCAGACCAGGGGCTTGCTAAGGAACAGCTATGCAGATACCTTCCTTAACGCCAATACCTTCTTTAATCCTCCCCAAGCTGGGTATGTAGCTTTCAGAGACCCTTTATGCCACTTTGGCTTTTTACCTTAGATAAAGGGGCCAGAGCCAGAGTGAAGGTGTCAAACACTATGTGTAACCAGAATCAAAGGTTCAGATCTCAAAAGTCTGGCTGAGCTATGTTTGGTTTAAAAGCCAAAGGGAGAGGGGTATAGGAGTCTCAAAGCCAGCCACGAATAACTGAGATTAGCCTCAGGCGATGTAGCATACTACATTAAATACTCTTGACTTTTATAATCCTCAACAGCAGGGCAATGATATAAACACCATCAGCCTTTAACTGGCAATACTAGGACTACATTTGAACACAATCTGAAAACATTTTGTCCAGGTCAGTAAACTTCTTCATTATGCGATCTGGTTGGAAATTAGGAAAAAACATTTAACAAATTTGTCTAAAGAAAAATTTCCCCATTTTACCTTTGAATGTTTGGAATTCAAAATGAAATATTTAATTCACATTTCAAAAATAAAGTTGACAGCTTTACTGTCATAACTGACAAAATAAATTAGCAAAAAATATTTTAAATTTCTTCTTTGCTTTAGTTCAAAATTCATAGAAAGAATCATAGAAAGTTAGGGCTGGAAGGGACCTAAGGAAATCATCTAGTCCAACCCCCTGCTCAAAGCAGGACCATCCCCAACTAGATCATCCCAGCCAAGTTTTTGTCTAGCCGGGTTTTAAAACCCCCCAAGAATGGAGCTTCCACCACGTCTCTGGGTTATCTGTTCCAGTGTTTTACTACCCTTCTAGTGAGAAAATTCTTCTGAATATCTAACCTAAACTTCCCTTGCTACAACTTGAGACCACTGCTCCTTGTTCTGTCATCTGTCACCACTAAGAATAGCCTAGCTCCATCCTCTTTCGATCCCCACTTCAGGTACTTGAAGACTGCTCTTAAGTCTCCTCTCAGTCTTCTCTTCTGTAGACATTAAATAAGTCCAGTTCCCTCAGTCTTTCCTCATAAGTCATGTCCCCCAGCCCCCTCACCATTTTTGTTGCCCCCACACTGGACCATCTCCACTTTGTCCACATCCCTTTTCTAGTGGGGGGCCCAAAACTGAACACAGTACTCCAGATGTGGCCTCACCAGTGCTGAATAGAGGGGAATAATTACTTCCCTTGACCTACTAGCAACTCACCTAACAATGCAGCCTAGTATGCCGCTAGCCTTCTTGGCAACTAGGCACACAGCTAACTCATATTCAGTAGGGCTGTGTGAAGCTTCAGTCCCTGATTCGATTTGGCAGAGACTGGCCCAATTCAGTGGCCAAATCTCCGAATCTGAATTGAATCAGAGGACCCTAATCTCTCTGAAACGAATCAGAACCCTCCGAATCAATTTGGAGAGATTCATCGATTTGGACATAGACACAGCTTTAAATGTTTTTTCTACATACGTCTAGGTAGCAGGTGGTTCATGAATGCTGTGATGCTGGGGTGCATGGAGCGTCCCACAGGAGCGCTGGGGGGTCCCCAGTGTGCTTGGCAGCAGACCCAGAAGTGGACCAGAAGCACTTCTGGTCCACTTCCAGGTCCACTGGAGAGTGCACAGGCCCTCCCCCTGCACCCCCCC